GAGAGCATTCACCTTCTTCGCTGGTGTCGTCTGCGTAGTGGCTGGTAAGTTGGCAATACGGCGATGGTGCTGGGAGCCAGTTACGCATCAGGGCGCAGGTTCGGGCGAGGACCATTAGTCGACTAGCGGTTTACTCGTAACTGTCATCACGAACTTCTTGATACTGGCTCCCTGCAGTCCATTATGATGCGCGCAGCTATTGGTAACCAGTTCAAAATAGCCAACCAGAGTAGTCCAACCATCCTGCGTTCGAGTAAAGTTGATCGAGCTATAGTTAGCTATATTCCTCGCTAGACCTTCAACATGGCGAGTTGTTATTTAATACAATGGCTGTTTTCCAAACTCGTCCTTGTCTCCGTATCTGGCTCTAGCCCTACTGCCAAAATACATGACTGAAGCCAGATACGGTGACGAAGCTGGGGTTTGAGAAACAACCAGTGTAGATAGTCATGTTGTGTACGATTACGGCTCATCAACTAGCGCGATGGGGAAAAAAACTTAGTCTTAACAGCAGGATAACCCATTCGGACACCATCATAGGCGTAGCCAGCGGGGGAGGGGGGGTAAGGGGAACCGGAGAAAAAAACGTGACTTCTTTCAGCACGGATGTGCAAGTGCCCTTTTCAAGAAAAGTTTAACACACCCCCCCCCCCCCCCCCCCCCCCCCAGTAAAATGACCTTGCTACGCCCTGACCCTATTTTGATTTTGGTGTAATTCTGCATGATAAGGTCGTTCCGAAACAAGTAAAATTGTCACGTCTCATTGACTTAAATCCCTTGAAATGTTCCCCGGTGGAGCACACGTCGACGCACGTGGTCGTTCGTTTCAAACGCTGCAGAGCTAAGTGTGATGCTGCCCTCTGTTGATGGTTTGAGAGCGAATTTTATTTGTGTACACAGGTTAAGTTAACGGTTGGAGGATGCCTGCCTTTATATATGAAGAAATGGGAGGTCAATAATGGCAAGGAAAAAGACGGAGGAGAAAAGCAGCAACAAAAACCAAAAATGGGGGAACTGAGTGAACACCGGGGCCTTAAAAACATGCATTCTTACTTGTTTTTATTGAGTTTCAAACTCCAAAACTGGCCTATTGTCCACCTTAAAGAGCTATCTCCCCCCCCCCAAAAAAAAAATTAATAATAAGGGAAGGACGACTTAATTTCAGAAAATTAATCAACACATTTTAAGAGAAAGGGGTGATGTTGTTGTCTTCTCGCAGGATTATTTGTTCTGACGGGAATAGTGTGTTACATCATTGCCGTGGGAGATGCAGTCATTGAGAAACATCCGCCCCTACCTGACAAGGTAAAAGCCATCACCAGTTTCTGGTGCCCAGTCCCGCCCGTCTTTTCGCTCATACCCACAGGCTGTCCAAGGGCAGCTAACCTCTAATTTGTTTGAACACTGTCTTATTCGATGTGCGTAAGACACGTGCGCATGGAATGTACGTATATTCATCATGGCAAGTAATGCATAATGCTTTGCGTCAGCTGCGTTTCATTCACTCGATTTTGTGAAGGGATTAACTCCCCCACCTAATCAAATCGGTATGGTGACGCCCAATTCTAAAGACTGAAACATCTGTGTCCCAAAGTAAGCGGATTTATTGTGCGGGGAGGTTGGTTAGTGGGTAACGGCTTACATTCTTCTTTCCTAATAGTCCAGTTAATAAGAGGAGGCTGTTGTTAATGCCACTTCTCCACGTCTTTATTGCAGGTCTTTGAGTATGGCTACGGCTACTCCTTCTGTTTCTGCGCCATCTCCTTCCTGGTCACTGAGGCTACGGGCGTGGCTTCCCTGTATCTCTTCATCAAGCAGGAGACGTACGCCCTGCGCAGCGAGAAGGAGCGGATACGACACCGTCTTACAGCCTCGGGCTCCGGTACCTCAGTGGCCACGGGGAGCACCCAGACCATTCCGCCCAAAGTGACGGTCGAGACTGCGCAAGATGTATGGGTGTAGTTCATAGGGTCCATTGTCCTAATCCTGGCTAAAAGCAGCCGGTTCCCATCCCCTGGCGTGATCAACATGCTGCGGCTGTAAAAAGATGAATCAAATCCAGTCTTTGGGATTTCCGAGCATAGGTCTACATGTACCTCAAGCACGTGAATTAGCTTAAATGTAGCGCGGGTGAGGTGTGCTCGGTTCCAGTGGTGCAGACATGTAAATCGACTCCCATAGACCAAGTGATATAATGAGCCTCTGTACTGATGACGTCACACTTTGTTTACACGTGTGCTTTCTAAGGGAAGCCTAAAGGAGACGACAGTTTCGTAGCACACTTAAACAAAGTGTGACGTCATCAGTACAGAGGCTTATTACGTGCACTTCCTAAAATTATTAAAATTACTCACAACTCTCCCAGGTGTTTAAGACACCCATCAAATTAAAGCTTATATCATCATCTTTCATTTTTTGTGGATGGTAATCGTATGACTTTTGGGAGAAAATTCCATCCAAACATGATTACCCCTAAAAGTTGTCCTGTGGCCCATCGCTATTTTAAGAAAAAAAAATGATGCCTGCGCTCCATTGCGAAATAGAACAGTTTTAGGGCCCAATCTACGAGAAATACGAGCTCGCAGTCCTATGCGCGGATTCCACCAATATCTTTTACAAACCTTCAAGTTTATGGCCCACAATACAAAGTGCTCTAATAACGAACACAAACGAGGGCATACAAATCGTGATTTGGACCGCGCACGCAATTTTGGGCCTATTACCGGTCTGCAACCCCAAAGACTGGATATCGTCTATTCTTGTTGATGAATGCCCGTGGTTTCAGGACCACTTGCACTAGGAGAACAAAGTTCAAATTCACACAGTCTTGGGCCAAGATCAGGGTCCATACGGACTCGTGATAAGTCTGTTTCCCTTACCTTACGACCCCCCTCGACGTTTCGGATTTCGGAGTCAAGAAGCAGCCAGGTTCGTATTTAGAACATGGCGCTCCAAAGCCCTGCCCTCGTCCGGCCGAGTGTATCAGCAACGCCACATAAATACAGATTCTGGGCATGACGTGTGGAATCAAAATTTGCGAATGCGAGCTTCGGTTTAATTAATTTTAAAGTTAAATGACTGATAACAATCAGACGGTGCATTTTGTGTTGATAAATACAACCATTTTTCGCACTCATCCAATAGCTCGGAATAGCATCCGAGCTATTGCGTACAAATTTGACTGTGAACTAGAAATTGAGGAAATTTCAGAAATGGGAGAAAATCCTGCCCGTCTTTTGAAGCTTAACATTAGCCTCTTTATGAGCTAATGCAACCTTCGAATTTCTCAGCCATCGGACTGACAATAACACATGCGCCTATGGAAAAAACTTCACATAACAGACGAATTTATTACTGCCAAATAACCGTAGCCTCGTAATTCGGACGTGGCCACAGATTCTAGTCCGCAAGATTGATTCAAAATAACATGGATAGAACGACTCGTTGAGACAGTGTTTCGTATTTCGTGTTTTGTTTTTCAGTTGAACAAAGAAATTGACTGGAGCGAGGTTTCAACCTGTTATCTCCGGAATGCCACTCCGGTGCTGTACCAAATTGAGTTATCCGGCCCTATGTTGCCTTTTGGGGGACACCCTGCAGAGTCAGAATTAAACCATTGCTATGACCTCACACTGTTGTGGAAAAAGCATGGATTAGTATCAACGAATCCTTTAGTAAAGTTTGCATTCGGAACTACGAATGCACATTTTGCACAGTACACTTTAAACACGATACAAATGATCACCATGAGTAAATTTGTTTTCTTTTTAGCACGATGTTAAACAAAGCTAATATTATAATACCTAATTTCGTGAGTGCGAAGTTACAGCAGATTCCGGTTTCAACATCGCTGTGCGTTGTAGCCCCCCCCCCCCCCCCCAATAGATTTTCTGATGATCATGGACAGGATGATATCATTGCATAGCAAATTAAAAGGTCTTGAGGCAAATTAATTTGCTCGGCGCTATGCGCCTCGTGAATTCTTAAATTACGAATCCACACTTTCTCGTGTATTCTCCTTAACCTAATAAACCCCTGCCATTGTATCCCGTACAGCCAGGGATCGCGCTTAACGTCACGATGCTAGCAACAGTGTAGCAGTGCTGCAAACCTGGGAAATAGCAACATTTTTTCCCCAGGTTTTGCAGCCTTGCAAATATAATGTTGCTAGAACTTGATATGAAAAAGAAACCCCTCCTAATAATGGTCCTACAACAGGACGTCAAATTTATAGCTGATTGAAAGTTTCACGAGCCACCCCTCTCACTTAGAAAAAAGCCCAACAACCAATTAATTGTTTCCGGACCTTAAAACTGGCTCATTTTCATGGACAATTTTTTGAGGGCCACCCTACTATTTGTAATCTAGCTTAAAAGTTGGTTTGTTAGTAGTTGTAAATACTTTGAACAGTGTAAAATTGCAATTTGTCCTTCATTTGTGTCATTTTAGAAGAAAAAAATTATGGTCGAATTGTGAACGTTGCTTGTAGGAATTTTAAACGTGCGAAACAAAAGTACATAAGTTAAAGAAAGCAGCATGCTGTACGTCTGTGTGTTGTGGTAATGATAATTATATAACTTTTGAGTGTTGTTTTTTATACATAAAATAGGTATTCGAACCAGATGGAGATAAACCTTAATTAAATAATGGATTTGTGTGTTAAAAATGTGCACTGAACTGGTTTCTTTTTATTTTTCCGTGTCCACAATTCGTAGTGCCGCGTATAGGAATGTATGATCAAAATCCTCGTAGCTGTGGCAGCAATTTATCGCCATTTTACCGACTACCCGAAAGAGTGCAAACAGATCGTGACCAAAGTATCAATACATAATTAGTCGCACCTCGGCAAACGATTCCACAAAACGCGGCCTTTTTTAATCAGTATCCGTACCCACGGCAACGGCCGGGGTGGAGTCCAGCCCGAGCAAAGTCCGACTACCGGCCGGTATATCTCTGTGACTGGCGTTTGAACAACGATTATCTCCGCAATTATCGTTGATATCAGGGTTGCGAGGCAGGACTTTGAACTGCTGCACTGGCACTGATAATTGCAACAGTTTCGTGGCATTGTTGACTCTAACCCCGCAGATGTGCGGCATTGTTTCGCGTGTTGCCTTTAGCTGCCAACGTCGGTCCCGAGTTTCTTACAGCGTCACATCTTTTTTTTCGGAAAGTTTCTCATCGGATTACTGTCTCCTGGTGAAAGTTGTTGCTCTTAAAGTCTTTCCACAAAGTTGATCTTCCAGCAAGAACAGGTAAGCAATATGTAAACTTGTTATCCTTTGTAACATAAAAGTGATCGCATCACGACACAACACCAGGTATCGTTAATTTTGTAGCACCGCAATTTGCTTAATTTTTGTTACCATATCTAAAACTATTAATTTTTGGCAACATCTTTCGGTGAGACTGTTATGACCATCTCTTTCAAAAATGACTTAACACCTTTTAATCGGAAACAAAACATGCAAAGAGAAAGCGATTCTTTATAAAAAGGCATAACTCACAATGGCTAGACTATTGTGAGAAGAATGGTTAACGACTGTTATGTGAAATTGAAGTATGGGATTGTAAGGTTTATTAATGGTAGTTTGGGGTCATTTTTATACCAGAAGTTTGATGTATACGTGACGACATCTTGTACAGATGTATCTTCTCATGAACTGTAACAATAAGGGAAAAAGTGGGGCCAGGTAATTCGTTAGGAAGGGGAATTGACCTTCGAACAAATTCAAACAATTCTGCAATAATTCTTCAAGAGGTCATGCATAACTTATTTCCAAGTGACCATTCACATTGGTTAGCAATGACACGGCGCGGTTAAGTAGGTCTAGAGTATAGTAACTGGTTAACATAGGATCGTTTGCATTTGGAACATTTTGTCTTTTCGTTTGAAGCAACAAAATTGCCCAAAATGTTAAGTGGGGTGCACAATTAAAATGTTGAAGTTTCAGCTCAGTGGATACCACACCTTTTGAGAAAACGGGGAAACTGTTTGGCGTCTCGAAACTTGATTCCGTCGCTAAAGCACGTAAACAAAAAATGTGCCCGCGAGGACCTACTTGAAAACTTCTTTCAATGCTCTTTCTTCTAAACGATATAATTGTAGGCGAAATAATCTCCAGTATATTTTAATACTCGTCCGGTCTTCACTTTGAGCGAGGTTGCTGCTCTTAAATCGTCAGGTAATTTTTTTTTCTGGAAACTGCCAGTGTTCCTTCGTAGCTTTACTTGGGGTACATGGACCCCAAGCCTTGCCAGTTTAGTTGACTTGATCTTGCCTTACTGGCGTTATTGACTGTTACTGTTGCTAGTGTAAAAAAAAAGGAAAACTAAAGTGTTTGAATGGAACACAAACCATTTTTTTCGAATTGTAACATCTTAAAGACTGCCCTCAGTCCTCAACATTATAAGAAAAAAGCATCTCCGCGCTTTTCCGCTTTTCTGTTTCCCTTGACGAAATTGCAATCTTCCCATTCGCACATCACAAATCAAACGACACCAAAATACATCATTGGTCGCGGACGAGCCAAACTCAAAGTCCATCATGCGTGGAAATTTACTGGCCTGATAATGGCCGCTTAGTCGTTTACATAACATTAGCTGGGCGTGACAGGCACAGCCCAACACGCTGCTTGTGAATCAGCAGTATTATCTCAACAATGAGAATGCTCCTGTGAAACTAACCGTCTGGTTATCTTACTGTTCAACCAAAAACAGGTTTCGTTTATCCGTAAGAATTAAATATCTAGTTCCGTTCTAAATTTATGATGTACAAAAACGTTCAATCATGGCCCAATTTCACAAACTGATCCATGTTAAAATTTGTGTTACTTTTCCCAACGTTGGCATTTGTACTTCTATTTTGTTTGGGGGTTTTGAATAATAATACTGTTTTATTTGTTTTGTTGCATCTAGGCGAACAAGACCGTTTCATTTCCTTTACTTCTTGGAGAGGAGGAAAGGCGAAATGTCTCCAGGACTTTTAACAAATGGCATCGCACTTCCACTGGTGGCGGTGTTGGCGTTAGTTTCTATGACGTCAGCCTGGCAAGGTAAGACAGGATAAAGTTGATTGGCAGATTGAAGTATCCTCGATTTTTGTCTAGGTTGGATTTTTGATTGCACCATTTAGCTCGTTTTAATATAAGTAACCATTCAAGGAAAAACACGATAAGGAACAAAATCTAAACAGAAGCAACTACAGGGTGAGTAAAAAAAAACGAAACCCAAAATAGCAGGACCATTTTTGAATGAAGTTTGCCTGTGTTAACAAAAAAAGTAAGTGTTCCTACAGCAAAACGAAAACAACTCTTGTAAAGATGCATGTGAACTGTTTTCGTTTCGCTAAAAGAACACTTTCCGTTTTTTGATCCGTGGACAGAATTTTAAAACGGTGTTTGTGTTCAAAAAAGTTCATGAGTGATTTGAATGATTTTTGCATTAAAAGAAAGCTTAATGACTGGGCTTTCATAACCTAGATTTTAAAAGCGCTAGAGGCAAAACTAATACATTCAAACATTGGTCTAGCCATTGGGTTTCGTTTTTGTTTACTCATCCTGTTTTATGTGGCGGAAATACGCACATAGGCGTTCACCAAAGTGGCGTTAGAATTATAATACCATGAGATAAATAAGTTAAACCTCGTGCTTTAAAATTGCGCAGAAAACTTTAATGTGGAATAAGCATTGTGTATATAAATCACTGAGCTGCTATTAAAACGGATCGATAAGTGTATGCAGTGTTAATCCTACCATTTTGACCATCTCAACCGTTGTGAAGATTTTACCCAAAAAAATATATTGTTTTTTTTTCAGCTTGCAATTCTTGCCTAAACAAATAAAGTGTCATATTCAATTTCAATTTTTCAAGAGTATATGATATTTTGATATTTTTTTAGATTTTAAATATTTTTTTATCAGAATCAGTGTAGCAGACTGTACAGAGTTCTGTCCTCGAAATAACAAAGGATACGAGTCTCAAATTTCGAGTCCAACTTACTAATCTGAACATGTATCCATCAAAACACGAAATGGGCCGCAAATGAGTGTGCGCACCCATATTGGTTCGTAAAGGCGCTCCAAATTCAATAATGGTAGAAGTGTAAATAGCTTTTCAAATAGATAACTTCTCACAAAAGGCCTACGTGACTGACAATTAACCAGATAAAAAGTTCGACTTTAAGTGTATTCAGGGCGATTGAATAAAGTGATAAAGTTCTTAATCTTAGGGTCTTATGTAAACTTATGCAGAAATAAAAAATTACTGCGTGTGCAGAACGGTGTTAATCCTGCTGACTTTGGGGTGGAAATTTACTGTTGTATTATGGTATAGGGGTCACTGTGGCCGAGTTGGGTGGGGTCACGGGGCGTGGTTCGCGGGGTAGGCTGGGAAGGAAATTCGATTTGGGTGTGTTGTGGGTTGAGTTTTATAAACTCCGAAGAAGAAAAAACATCATATTTAAAACAAGTTCCATTTTTCCCCAACAGATTTTGACAATAATTTGTTTTGTTTTAACGGAACATTAATATTTTCTATTATGGGCGTTTTCAACCTTCCGTTTTTTGGGGGAGTTGCTTTTGCATATTTTCATAAGGGCCAATAATCCTGAGAAAAGCAGCATATAGGCTAACACCAAACACTAAATGTAGATGGGACAAAAAAAGATGCAATTTAACTACTTCATTACAAAAAAAGGTGTTATATTTGCATATTGCAGGGCTGAGACATGATCCATGGTTTCTATCTATGGTTAAGTGTTTGTTTTACAGAAACTATGTTTACAGTATTTGTAACTGTTACTGGTTTATTGGGAAGGATGCTCAATTCAGTAGAGAACCTTTTATAAACACGATAATGATGATTGATGTCCCACTGAGATAAATTTTCCTGTGCAAGGGGGAGTCTGCAATGGTCGTAAACTGAGCAAAAGTAACATTGTAGGGTATATTTTGTTCACTATCAAAGAACGTTTATCTTATAAGATAAGATTTTTAAATGAAACTGCATGTATACATAATCATTCATTGACCTTTATATAAACATGAAACCTAGTTAACGATTAGTTAACAACTATTAACTTTTTTTATTGAATATTTAATTATAATATGTCGCTTTAAATTCATTGGGTCATTTTCATTTTATATACGTTGCCAAGCGGCCCCTTGAACGAAGACATTGGCCAATTGGGGAACTGCCAACACAGGGCTGGATAGCTCAGTTGGCAGAGCACCGGAACCGCAATCCAGAGGTCGCAGGTTCAATCCCCGCTCCATTCATTCAATTTCTTTGGTAAACTATGAAAATAAAAGAAATTATTAATCAAATTAGATAAAATAACTTGCATAACTTTTTCTTAGATCATATCATTATTGTTCCCTTTGTAACTTTCAAAATCAGATTTTACCACTTGTGGCAAGATCCCTATGGACAAATCGCGGATTGTGGGCGGGAAGCCGACGGACGAAGGAGACTGGCCGTGGATGGCCAAGTCGTGGAGGTATGGCCCAGAAACTGACGAGGGTGTCAGCCGGTGTGGGGCCTCTCTAATCCACCCTGAATGGATTCTAACCGCGGCCCATTGTATGTAAGTACGCTCATCTTGATAACTAGCGAGGATTGCATTTTTATGTCCACATTATGCCGACAATAAACTAACTTAATTCAGATACAACACAGATTTGCTTGGGTTTAAGATGTGAGATATTTCCACGTGTATTTTTTTAACAATTTTTTTTATTTCGGCGTTTGCAACCCTGTAAAAAGGTTTTTTTTACGTTGCTTTTGCGAACAGATCCGTTTTGCGAGTAGACTGTTCCCAATCCCTGTATATTTTTTATCGAAAATGATAAACCAATCTGCCCTGGAAAACCATTTTTTCCTACATAATTCGAAAGTGGCAAAGGAATGATTCCATATACCTAAATGTGCGTCCACCGTGTTCGTTTGATGCCGCCTTTAAATAAAGCTGGCTACAGCTTTTCAAATCATCTTGCCTCGGGTCACATGACCAGCTATTCAACTGAATCGTGACGTAGAGTTTTCTTTTGTCATTGCTCATCCACTAAACTTGTAACCTTGCTTGTGATTTGACTTGTGATCAACTTACGAGCGACTCAGTCGCAGCTGTGATGCATCGGCCTAATTTGGTATCATTGAAGGATTCGTTTTGTCAGCCTGGAGGCCATGCATCTTGGAAGCCATTCTCTCTAAATTCCAAAGAGTGACATTAGGGACTAGACGTTTTAGAGCGAAAATCACTGTCATGTTTGATTGAAATAGTCTGAAAAAGAACCACTTCAGACGAAGCTCGAGTGAAAACTCGATCTTTACGATTGAAGGAATAAGCCTCTGTACTGATGACGTCACACTTTGTTTACGTGTATGCCTTCCTATGGTGCTCTTTGGACCGCAGGCCCCCACTGGCTCCATAGGAAAGTGCACGTGTAAACAAAGTGTGACGTCATCAGTACAGAGGCTTATTTCACTCTAAAACGTCGAGTCCCTAGTTCCCGACTGTGGGAGTGAATTTTCACTCGAATGGAGTGAATTTTCACTCTTCGGAATTTAGAGAGTTGTGCCTCCCTTCGTCCCCATGTGATTGATTGCATTCAGCAGTCATCTTTGATGTGTGCTTTGTTTATGTTAATTCATTAACAATGAATGCACGAGAAGTCTGCTATTTCCCTGTTGAAAAAAAGCACAAACCTCTGAGATGGCTGAGTGCAAACAATCTATATAAATACAACGTATCTGTGCCACTTCTTTTATGTACAACGACTTTTCATCTATCAACAGAAAAGTTCTCAACGATCCCTCCATCCACTTCCAAGTGTTCGGCTCAAACACGACGGTGGTGGCCGACTTCTCCAAAAATGTCCAGATTGTGGGCGTGTCCGAGGTCTACATGCACCCCAACTACACCACGTGGGGGGCCACCACAACTGACTGGGACATAGTCGTCATGAAGCTCAAAAAGGCAGTGACATTAGACGATTACGTGAGCCCCGTGTGCCTGCCAACAGCTGACATGGGCGAGAATATATTTACGCCCGGGATGAACGCCACTATCACAGGATGGGGAACCACAGAGCAAGGCGGTAAGTTTTTGCCCCAATTGAAAATAGCGACCAATTACAGACTATATAGCGGGAAGCTGTGGTGAGGCCGCGTCTGAATCTAGTGTGTGGAGCTAAGGACCTGTTTACTAATAAATTCATAATTATGCACCCGGCAAAAAGCGAAAGCGGTCCGCTGAAAATGTACAGGTTTACAAACAGCTTTTTGTCTCTCAATTTGTCCACGATTGATTTGTCGCTTTTTTTTCTTAAGAAAAGCCCCTTAAATCGCCATAGGCATTACTTTCTTGGTTAGTGGGTTTTGGGGCACAAAATAAAAATTGAAACGTTTGCTTTTGTTCCGTGCGCACGAAGTAGAAGGAAATCAGCAGGGCCCTCATTTCCGCACGCGTGAACGAATAAATAACTGTTTGCTTTGGGGTACCATCCACAACATTTCGGGCCGAATCGCGGTGCCGAATCGCACCGAGCTGCACCGCGGGCTGCAACGCGGGCTGCACCGCGGGCTGAAGCGCGGGCTGAACCGCGGGCTGAATCGTGGACTTTACTTCCCTTAAACAAAGCTTCTGAACCATGAATCGGAAAGATAGGGTGTAATTAATTTCGTTGAAAGGACTTAATAACACACGTTAAAGTAAGAAAATTCATATTTTGACAGGGGAAAAGGGCAACTAAATAGGTCGGTGAGATTCGAAGCTGCGGCATATATCTAATATAAAAAGCGTTAAACAGTAGGTTTTGTTGTAGGCCTACATCTTTAGCTTCGATACAACCTCGACATCCGAACTTTATAAAGTCATCTCAAATCACGTGATAAATTTTTCAATCGCGTGATGTGTTTCACGCATGCGTACTATGGTTTGTGACGCATGGGGAAATATTGGTGGTCGGTGTATATTTTTTTTTTGGTCAGATGGTGAACAATCCCAGCCAAGCCTGGACAATGTAACCCTTTTCCCATCTTCGTTTCACGTCCGTCTCTTTTGCATCACTGACTAAAACATATGCATTCTTCTATCTCATAATGAACCAACAGGCGCTCAAAACCCAGATCTGTACGAGGTGACTGTACCCATTGTAAGTCAAACGGACTGCCAAGACTATTACGCCGATGAGGAGATCTCCGAACGCATGATCTGCGCAGGGCTGGACAAAGGAGGCAAAGATTCATGTCAGGTAAACACAATACTAGACAAAGCAAGTCTCATAAGACTGGTCCCTAAGAAGCGCGAACTTCTATTCAATTTGATTCAAAATGGCCATTCACTGGAAGTCTTTTCATGTACGCAAACAGTGGGCCAGATTAAGCTTATTCACTGGTGTTACAGTGTATAGTAATGCCCGGCTCTCTCGTCCACTTTACAGCCAATCAAAACCACGAGTGACAGTCAGTCAGTTAGTTAGTCAGTCATTGGGATGGGCGGGAAGGGGATACTATTTTCCCAAGCACACCATTTCCACAACATAGGAAATTCATTTTCGTAACTCCCCTTTCCCGAGGCACAGTTTGCCATTTTAGGAATTCAGTGACCAGCACTTCACATCAGGTGACTAGCCACCCTTCTATGCTTTTTTGAAAATATTTGCTCCGGAATTGGGTCTATTATGATTATTTTCAGTAAAAAAATACCGATTTAGCACCCCCCAAAAAAATGTTACAATAATAAGTCGGTGTGACCAATGACTGCGCCACTGTTGCATTGATGTCACAACAACCAACTGATGAACGATTCTTGAGTAAAGATGCTCCTTTTTTTATTAACAGGGAGATAGTGGCGGCCCGATGGTGTCCAAGATTGTAGATACCAGTGACGCTACATTGAAAGACCGATGGTTCCAAAATGGGATTGTGAGCTGGGGCTATGGCTGTGCGCAGCCGGAATACCCGGGCGTCTACGCGCGTGTCTCGGCCTTCCAGGATTGGCTGGCGCCCATCTTCGAAAACAATGCCGGACCCACGGAAAGTAAGGAATCCGTTTCTGATATCTTTATTCCATGCTTGCATAAGTAAACACATCTTTTGATTTATCATTTCACGGTTTTTGTTTTAAGTTGACAATTTGGGTTTTTTTAAGAGAACAACCAATCGATTTGCTTCCCTGGTCTATATTGTGTTTTGCATGGAACAGTATTGTCGCAAGTTTTGACGGGGAAAGACATTTAGCTACACTTTTGTTTTCAGTTGTCTTCTTAAGAGGGAAGTGATACTTTGTACTTTTGTCCAGTGTCTTAGTCGAGTCTATCTCGATTCCCCATCACATTAAAGGGAAGGTACAACATTTGCAAACATCAAAACACGAAATGATCCAATTATCACGAAATACCTTACTGGAGTGTCAGGGAACGACAGTCTAAAGCATCCTGTTAAACTGTGGCTCCTGTTGTGCTGGCATTTTCAAGAAAATTTGTAATTTTCCAACGCTGGTCGGCCGACCAGTGTTAGAGAAAACTAGACTGGCAATTTTTTCAAAAACTGCTCTCTAAATTCCAAAGAGTGAAATTTCACTCCATTCGAGTGAAGATTTACTCCAACAGTCGGAAACTAGGGACAAGACGTTTTAGAGTGAAATTTCTTCAATCGTGAAGATCGAGTTTTCACTCGAGCTCCGACTGAAGTGGCTCCTATTCCAATCAAAAATTTCACTCTTTGGAATTAAGAGAGTGCTCCTAATTTTTCATATTTAGTTATTCCGCAATAATAATTATTGTCTTTGCAATTTTTTGTGCCGAGATTTAAACTATATTCGTAAGATGATTAGTTGTCCCTTCTTTTTATTTCGCGTTTATTATGGCGGCTGCCATCTTGAGTTTACGCCATCTGCATCCGCACGCACTTTTGGCCGTTCGTAACCCGAGAACATCGCGGGTCGCTCGAGAACAGGGTTTCGAATACGCCCTATAAAAGACTGATCTCCCCACTAAACAGTAAAGTATCTCAGTAAAGAAATACCGGCGTAGATATATGATGTAACTATTCCGTTTGTGTGTGTTTCGTCTTTGACCAGAATATGGCGACAACGGTTGTCGGCTGGATGAGTTCATGTGCAAAGGACTGCTGTGCATATCCCATGCGGGTAGATGTAACGGGGCCAATAACTGTTTCGCCGACACCGACGAGCTTCAGTGCGGTAGGTCCTTTACACACCCCAGTGCCCTATACATTTGTTAACAGGTACCCTTTTTCTGACCAAGTGCCCCTTTTTTTCTGAACAAGTGCCCTTAAAAAAAAAAGTGCCCTTTTTTAACTATCGGCCGTTACGGGTGCCTTTTTTTATTTTCGCATGTATCACCATGAAAAGCACCATATTATTGTCCGCAAGGGAACATAATAGTTGGTTTTGAACAGCGCCCCCATCGACAGATGGTCCTCCCACACTTGTTGATTTTACAAAGGGCAAGTGTCCAGAGAAAAAAAAAAGTGTCTACATTTCAGCATAGATGTGCAAGTGCCCTTTAAAAAAAAGGTTTACCCTCCAATTAAAATGACCTTGCTACGCCCCTGTTAAGATATTAAAGGACCTGCTAGAAAATGTTGGTTATAGGGTATTTTTAACGAAAGAATTGAGATCAATATGATGAGCGATGTTTTTCAGTTAACTTGCCGATGGGAATAATGACTGAAATTGAGCGCAGGAAGATAAACTTCAAAAGAAAAAAACAAAGTTGATGGAGGTCTTTCTTCAAATTTGCCCCTCCAGGAACCTTCGGTAAGTTCTTCGATCCCATGCCCGGCAAGTGGCTGAATGCCTCGGTCAGCAGCTTCCACGTGGACAGCGATGAAGATTGCGCCAAGCAATGCATTGAGTGGCCGGCCTTCAACTGCTTCGCCTTTGACACGGAGAAGGTGGGCGACAAGATCATCTGCAACCTCTCCGACGAAAACGTCGACACCTACGACAGAGAGGCGAGCGACGATCGGATGCATTACCAACTCCAGACGCCCGCTGAGTGTAAGTATAACCCATCGCTCTTCGCAATCTCATTTGTCTTCTTGTGTCGTTGAGACCAATGACCTCGGTATCATTTGGACTGGCTAAAACTAGCCTTGGTCAAGGCGTTCGTCATTATTCGTCCGTACGCGGTTAACGATCGGTGGCATATCCTCGATATAATACATTGCATTAAAAATACAGCGCCACTTTTTTATACAAATCATTTTGGTCCAGACGAACGCCTTGGTCCAATCGTAAGCGAATTTTACGTTTTTCTTAATTTTGCGCTAGATTTCCAGCGCACGACCCCATATGGGCGGGGCTAATATGTGGACTGTCCAATCACACCTTGGTAAATCTCGACGTCATCAAATCATTTGCAGCTGTTCGCCCTTTGCCGACGTGTAAGAAACCACATTTTTTTTGTGCATTGGTGCTGTGTGTATTGTGAGACTTCGACACACAATGTTTGTGTATGTATTTTGTGTGTGTGGAATGTATTATGTATTGTAAGTATTATGAATTCGACTATGGTGTGATAGTATGTATGTACAGCATATAGTTCCCACGCAACGATCGACCAGTAAGAAAACAACATTTAAGGTCTGCTCAGGCTAATAGCATAATGAGCACCACCCCAAAGGTTCACACGTTTGTTTTACATACCTAAAGTGGACATTCCTTTGTTTTCGTGTAGTTAAGAAAAACCAGTGAAAAAAACTCATTTTACTCAAACTGTGAAAACTCGGTCAAACCAAATTTGTTTTTCTATGATTCCTTTAAGTGTTTCTCTACATTGTGCCACTGATACACCTAACCCAAAAATGCCTCTAAACCTGTTTTCCAGAGAGGGCAAAACGTTATGTGGACACGCAGCTGTACGTGCGCGCAGCTGAGAATGTAACAAAGATAATTATGTGGCTCTTCGTGGAAACAATCATCTCAATACACCTTATTAACCTTTCGCGGTAGAATCGCGTCAACGCAGCTTGTGAAATATTGTCCAATCACGTGATACAAAAATGGACGCAGAACGCGCACGATCTGAGACGAACAAAACTTAACGTACAGAATTCCATAGGGTTGTCTAAGAGGCGTGGCGAACTCGCAAACGGCGAAAGGTCAATAGGTTTTGTACGCGTTCAAGGGGCCAAAAATGTATGAGGCTCCTCGTGAAAACGCAAATGCAATTATCGAGATTTTTTGCCCCTTGCATCATTAATGTATTTTGAAAATTAGTGATGGTTTGCGTACATAAACATGTTTTGATGATTAAGTACAATGTTTGAACGCAAACTAGTGAAAAAAAAATCAAAATGGGAAAAAATGTGGCTCTTCGTGAAAGCGGTGACGAATTATGGAAGAGGCACTCAATCAGCGCTTTACACTAAAGTTTATTTCGGTCTTAATTTTGCTTAGAAATTGATCTTTTTTATTCACTATTAAGTCCTTCAAAATATTGATGACATGGTTTATCGTGATTTTAAAAGGAAATAGTATGCATATTTCTGGTGGCATTAAAATTTCCCTTATGGTTATGACAATGATCCTATAAACACGGATTTTTTTTGGCTTAAAGATATGTTGCATTGTTTTTACCAGATGGGGTCAAAGAAATGACCTTTGACCAGCAGCATAACTTCCTTGTGACCCCTCGCTGGATGCTGGTGCAGGGGACCAGCGACAGCAGCTGGTTCATCTGGAACATCTCGCCCGCCGCCCCCGAGAACTACAACTCCCTCATGTTCAACTTCGTTGGTGTCCGTTCCCTGGCGGATGAATCCATGGAGTGCAAGACGGCCGCCGACATGAACATGGTAGTAATCCGGTCCGGAGTCGAGGTGTCCAGCCCCGTTGCGGCGGCGTTCTGCCTGCACGAGCTCCCAGAAACCTTCAGGGTCATGTCGGCTATGGCACGGGTGGAATTCTACACCAAAGACCCCACCATGTATGGCTTTATGGGGGAGTATAACGCAGGTAGACCCTTTTTTCTTTTCATTCCGCATAGTTGCTCTATCTCTTTATTTATAATCATAGCTCAGTGATTACTATTGCCAAATCCTCTGGCCTTTTGACTCTTAACGGCTAAATTTCGTTTGTTTGTTCGTTTGGTTTTTTGGGGAAGGATTTGTTTGGGGTTTTGTACATTGTGTCTCCTCTAATTTTTGTTGCTGTGTTTGTATATTTTGTTTTGTTTTGTTTGTTTGTTTTTTTTCCTTTGGGGAGGAATTACTTCATTGCTGCTGCTGCTGCTGCTGTTGCCGACTTTCGTGTCGTCTTCGAAATTGTCATTGCTATCGTTTTAATACTTTTTATCTTTGAAATCATTTCAAAGTCTTCTGAAGCATTTTAGATTCAATTCATGTAAAGCTTTGTTATCTATTATACATTCTAAAACTTGTAAATGTTAACTCTGTCTGAAGTTACTCTGTCGCTTGTTGTTCAACACATTGAATTGAGTTTAAGGATATGAACAGCCAATTTCTTTTGTTAAAATTTAAAATTATGGTCGGTTTCCCTTTGTGGTTTATTTGAAAATGTTAAATTGAATTGAGACAGAAAAACAAAATGAGTCTGGCATATACACTCACCATGTGTTGAGTCCTTTGGCAAGCCACTTCAACCCAACTTAATACTTCTCTGCACCCAGGAGTATAAATGGGTACCTGCATTAGCTGGGGAGTAACCTGCGATGGACTGGCATCCCATCCAGGGGTAACAGAAATATTCTCAGTCATTTCTAACTACTGAAACCGGAGATAAGCGCCGGACTGATGGGCCACATTGGCTCGTGACAGACTTTACTTTATATACTCATAGTGAGATCATGCTTTATTCGTCACTAGTATGGTACTGCGCCGACACCAAGACCACATCTCCCGGCACAGTCTCCTCGCCCAAGTACCCGTCCAATTACCCGGCCAACGCCCAGTGCGGCACCTTGCTTCAGGCTCCGGAGGGCATCAAGATCCATCTCAACATCACTACCCTCCTCCTAGAGGCGCCCAACAAAGAAGGCGACTGTTTCGACAGCCTGACGGTCTACAACGGCCCGGACAGCAGCTCGCCGGAGCTGGTCAAGTTCTGCGATAGTCAGGCCGAGGATAAGGTCTTCGAGACGACATCTGCTTCCAACTCCTTCTACCTGGAGTTCAAGTCCGACTACTCGTCTCAGAAGGCGGGTTTTAAAGCCAGCTACAAGTTTCTCACAGGTGAGCACGAGTCACTATCCAGAGATTGCCAATACGTGTTTGATTGCTCTCCAACATTGTGAATTAGTTTTTCGATATTTCCACAAAATCTCTTCTCAGATGTGATTCTTTTTTTCTTCAATGCTTGTCGCCTATAGACTTTTATCATGATGCCACCATTTCAGTCATGTTCTTTGTGTCCAATATCAGTACTGAAGGTTAATGAGTTTTGTGCAAAAAAGGAACCAGACTATTTTTCCTTCCAGCCTAGCTTTGGTTACGTATATTTGAAAGAGAAAAATCAAATTGGCCAAGGCTAAAGACTACAAAGAAAAAGATGGACAGAACAGCACTTGAAGGTAGACATAGCCCTCGAAAGGATGCAACACAGAGGGATTCCGGTCCTCCATACCAACTGAGCTTAAAATTGTGTGCTCGTTTCGATGTTTGAGAGTGTCCTTTCGTCTTATCGGCAGGGAACAATACCAAAGTTTAGCTTTTGGTTGCAGGCCAGTAAATCGGTCCGAAATTGCCTACGCTGGCCAAATTATGATTTGCATGCCCTCAAATTCTCCAGTATTTGAGCATGTGGGCCATGAACTTGAGGGTTTGTAAAAAAATTAATAAGGGAGGAAGCCGTGCACAGGACTGTGAGCTTGTGTTTCTGTGAAATTTGGATGAACAATTATTGAGGCCCGAAAAACGCGCTATTTTGCAATGGAGTGTGGGCACCGTTTGTCAAAATGGCGATGGGCTTCAGGACAAGTAAGAGGTGATCATCTTCGGATGGAAATTTCTCCTAAAAGTCATCAGATTACCAAAAAAAAAAAAAAAAAGGAAAATGGAAGATGATGTAATAAGCTTTAATTTGATGTGTGTCTGGAACAACCGAATTTCTGAAGTGGGGGCATTTATCATTGGGGTCTGTGGCAGTTTATTTACTGGTCTGCACCTATTAGCTTTCAGCACGCGTCAGTGTTGTAGTCTAGTCGAGTCCATCACAAGTCCAGTCTCAAGTAAATCAAACGACCACTCACAATTCCAGTCACGAGCAACAGGGGACGAACGATAACAATATAATGCCTTTGCCAAAGTTTTGAATAACTTATGACTTGTGACTTGACTCGGAAATGGATGACTGTCTTCTGAGGACTTGCAGCGACTTGTGATTGACCCGACTGCAACACTGGTACACGCTTTGTGATATAGCTGGACCATAAAGCTATGTTAAATTACGTGGACATCGGGGAGCTTCTTACATTACCTTGTCTAGTTCCCAGACCTGTTATCGTAGAACAAAAACGGTTCTTGAGTCAGTGGTGTTAAAACGGCAACTCATTGCAACCGATGAAAACTGGTTTGCAAATGAATAGATGTTTTCATCGGTTGGAATCGATTCACTGGTACGCGCTTTGTGATATAGCTGGACGTGGACATCCGGGAGCTTCTTACATTGCCTTGTCTAGTTCCCAGACCTATTTACTTACAACCCAATGGTTATCGAGTCTGGGGTGTTTAACGGCAACTCACCGCAACCGATGGAAACTGGTGTGCACATGAAGAAAAAAACAAATGTTTTCATCGGTTGACGTAATCGCACCCAGACCTATTTCACTTGTTAGATAAGAAAATGACTCCACTTTCCCCTCGTCCTTCTACCTCGCTGCAGGACCCACCAATGAGGAGTTGCTTGACGCCACTTTGACCAACTTCAAGTACGGACTGACAGCCATGGGCATCTTCTTCTTCTGTCTGACCATGGTGTTCATTGCCTCCATTTTCACCATCAACGCCAGGGAGAATGGTGAAAGGGCACAGATTGCAAAACTCAAACACAAGCACTCCATTGGTAAGAGCTCTTGTTTTTGTTTTTTGGGGTTTTTTTGGGGGGGTGGGGGGTTTGGAGGGGGGTTGGTTGGTGTTAAACAGGATGTTGCAAAAAGAAGGCAACCCACTTTTGACAGCAATTGTCCCTACTTGTTGAGCATTTTTCAAAAAATCAATTTAATGGTATTAAAATTTTGATCTTTGAACACACGTGACGAAAATGTATTCATTTTGTCTCTGAGATATGGTAGTTTCAAAATGTCATGTACCGGGAACCACACGTGTCTGTCCACGGACAGACCGGAGCTTGATTTAGAGACAACAATCACTACACCATACTTTTAGGCCAAAAACAAAAGTCTTCGGTTTCTGGTATGGAGCGACGTGGTGCGACGACGCGGCTTTTTTTTTAACTTGTATTTCTTCAAATGTCGGCTGATGACTGCAAATGGTGCCTGACTAAATTTAGTGCAAAATGTATGGGAACCCAGAGAGGCCACATAAAGCTTATACTTGATCGTAACCCCATCTCAAAACACGTTAAAATTGTGCAGGATTCCAGTCAAACCAGTGAGTTTGGCGGTTTTGAGACGTCATCTTACATTGAAAAAAAAACTGTTTAATTTTGCCGACGCGCATTACTACGGCGACGCGCGCGCAGACCAGATCAATGATTTTGGTGACTTGTATTCAAATTAGCATATTAACACTATTCTTGCGATTTTTTTAAAGATTTATTCATCACGTATGGTTAAAGAGCTTTACTTCACTACATTATAAAAACAGTTCAATTAAGTGAAGTTGGTTAAAAAAAATCCTGTCAAAAGTTGGCTTCCTTCTTTTTGCACCACCCTGTAGTACGTCCTTTTTCCTAGCCCCCCCCCCCCCCAAATGGGGTGATATAATAGGTGGGAAGCAAGAATTGGGCTTCACCAAACTAGAGAGTGTAGTCTGTGCACATAAGCCATTCGTTATGGCTATCGGGGCTTGAAATTGGACAAAGAGATACGCTGAACAAAATCAGGCAAACATTGCTAACAGAGAAAAGCGTAATTGAGTTCAAATCTCAAAATAGAAGAAAATGTTGCCATGCAATTGGATACTTGCACTGCTCATCACAAAAGGAAAATGTTGAGGAAAACAATGCTCTGTTTTCTTAAGCCCCCGCTCCACTTCCACTGCCTTCGGACATTATCAACGAGATAGCTTTATATTATGTGACCTGCCACAGCATAATAAGGAATAACCCCCACCTTGGACTTTTCACGTTTTGTACATTATGTTAAAGTGCAAATCATTGGCTTTCCAATGATACCGAATTTATTTCTGTAGATTAATTTATTACAAGGAGAGGACGCAGGAACTTCAACATTGTCCTGCCAAGTTTCGCTAACCTCATTTCGAGAAAACGGTTGGAAAAAAATACATGCATTGCGCCGCCAATGGCAGTGAAAAACGGTCTTCAGTTTTTCAATTTTTGTAGGTATTTTTTCCTCAACAAAAAATGCATAGTGTGAATCTTTGATACCTTGCCTACTAAAAAAATACAAAACGGTCAATATTGATTTTAACTTGATTTTTTTCAGTATAATCGACTTTAGGCGTTCCTCATTTTGCCTCAGTAGGTCACATATTGTGTTCCTCAAGCATCAATGAGCGTGTCTATACGCCTTCACGCATGCGCCAAGTTGCAAGATTGCCTTGCAATGCTTGCCTTGCTTAGCGTGTTTGTTAGTTTGTTTGGTTTTGTTTTCAGCCAAGTGAATCAGAAACGATGCCAAAAGAAATGTCCGTAATTTATAGAATTATTCATCACAGCTTAAAATGTATCCATATAAGGTGTAATATCCATAATTCTCCACCACTTAAGATCGAATAACATCTTGCACCGATAGCCTCGATTTCATACATGTCCATAGTTGTAACATACAATTGTCCCTGTGTTGCATACTACAGTACACGCTGTCCCACCCCAAGTAATTGACACCAACATTGACTGGGACAAGCCGTCAACGAGTCAGGCAGGCAGCGGGTCCGCTAGCGGGTCGCACCCGGACGACTACGCCGAGGTGAACGAGGTCGAAGGCAAGACGAACCCAGCTTACCAATCAGCGGAGTAACGAACCTTCATCCACATAATCGAGGCATTGGACGATTGATCACCGTGTTTAAAAATCTGGATAACCTTTTTGGACATTGCGCGTTGTATGCACATTTGAAGCAACGCGCTGGTTCCGAATCTCTCATTTCGAACATGGTACGGAAACCAGTGTAACCATTCACCTTATAAAAAAAATAAAAGTATATAGGCCTATTAAACGATTGTTTTCTCGACAGAGTTTGACAAAGAAATATTTAAGTTTCAAATTCAATTTTGATGTTTATACAAATGAATACATTTTTTTTTTTTAAATAGGTAAATTATATGCGGTTAAAATGAGGATATATTTTTTTGTTTACAATTCCATTGTTATGGGAGTGTCAATATGGCGGACGGTGACTTCACCTCTGACAGCCAATGGGCTATTCAGATGTTTATTATAGGAGACCGGTGCATGGGATGCCGTGTACACTGCCCTAACTGCTGTGGCCACCATGTGGGGGTGCAGACTAGTCACCAGGGGCCTATACGCGAGTTCGGTATTCCAACTGTGCAGGTGCAAATCAAAATTTGCCCGATTTTTACCGAGGATTACCGTTCCGATGCTGTATACCAACTGAGCTATCCAGCCCTATGTTGGCGGTTCCCCATTTTGTTGATGGCTTCGTTCAAGGTACGCTGCTCAGAGGCCTCTTGACTAGCGCCCCTTGAGCAAAGACTGAGACAAAATAGGGAACCGCCAAGATAGGGCTGGATAGCTCAGTTGTAGAGCACAGGAACGGCAATCCGGATGTCTCAGGTTCAAACTCCGCTCCAGTCAATTTTATTGTTCAACATTAAAACAATTATTTCATGCTGAGCATGCACAGCTTCATGAAATTGGGTCCAGTACAAAAAATGCCAGAGACTTAAACGATAAATATCCTTACTTTAAGAAATTGGGGGGGGGGGAATAATCACAATTCTCATTTTAATTTCAACTTAAAGCTATAATCTATCCTTAGTTACTTTCTGTTCAATTATTTCAGGGGGAGGGGGTTCAACCTTTTAGGTGAATTTTTCCAATGAAGATGATCTCCCCTAAAAGTTGTCTTAAAGCACGTTGCCATTTTGAAGAAATGATCTCTCTTCTCTTTTGCAAAAAAAGAGTGAAATTCCCTACCAATTCCATCCAGATTTCTCAGAGATGCGAAGTTAAAAGTGGTTGAGCTGGTACTCTTCATTTTTACAAACTCTCAAGTGCAACTTTGCAAGGGAAAACCTTACAAACAAAACTTCTTTTTTTTTAAGCGTACAAAAGTGATTTGTTCGGCGAAGGCATTTTAAAAAATCCCTTTACAGGCCTACACAATAATTTGTGGCATTTATCGAATGATTCAATATTGGTAAACCACATGGTATTCATTAATAGTGAACTGTGCAGTGAACAGGTACATAGTCGGTTCGGTAATTGATTTGGGAATAATCACACACGAAAAGAACATTATATGGACGTGGGTTCCAAAATTAAGGAGTACTTAAGGGTCAGTTTTTAATGTATAATGATCGTACGGCAGCCCTGATTGGTTTGTTTTGTTTTGATGTATAATTATTGTACGATAACGCTGATTGGTTTGTTTTCCTTTACTTACTTTCGGATTACGGCACTATATATTTTAACTCTATAGGTTGTTTTTCTTTCTCTGTCACAAATAGATGTACCCATATTTTAATCTTAATATCACTTGTTGTATATTCACGTTTTGTTTTATTTCTTGGCACTTTGTTTCAAATATACTGGGTGTATAAATGCCAGGATGCAATTTAAGAGCCGATGATTATGATCCATACGTTTCACATTATGGATCGTAATCATCGGTAGAACAATGTAGCTTATGTAAAGGTTTGTCTGTTTTATCGTTAAATTTAGCTTTGTGTTGGTTTTGGAGGATTAAAAGGGCAGCAAGAGGGATTTCGTTATTGCAATTGTCACTCCAATATTCACTTAAATTCAAGCGCTTCCGATTTTTATGATTTGTTTTTTTAGGTGTGAATTTATTTAAACTTCGAAGTTAAAAATGGCTTTAAAAATGCAACTGATTTTGTAAGTCTCAGGAAGTTGTGTAAACTCTATTCGATCAAAGACTACAGTTAAATTTCATTGTATAAGTACAGCTTTTCAATATGTTCTTTTTTTGAGAGTGAAGCAGAGAAGCTTGATAATGCTCAGTATTATTTTTTGATCATGTGTATATATTTATCTTGAGTAATAACAAATCGTATGGTCCGTTTTACCCTTTCTGTACTATTTAAGCGATAACATAATGGCATCAAGAGTTTGGGCCTAGCATAGGGTGCACGTACATAATGTTATTCAGTACTTTTTGATATAATAGAAATCACGGTAATATAGCCTGAATTCCTAGATCTGGGGCGTAAAAACGATTAGGCCTAGTTAGGAACCATCGCATTGGCAGTGTACTTAATGACCAAATTTCTCAGGGAAATCATGAATAGACACAGAGAAAGATTATATTCAAGGCAAATTTGTGGATTGCTGTAGTTCAATTATAGCGCCCTCTCTTTGAGGATTGCCGTAGTTCAATAATAGCGCCCTCTATTTGAAATGTAAACTTCGCTAATGACCCGATAAGAGTGCGTGAAATTGTAAAAAATGGTTTGGGGTTTTCTTTGTCTTCAATTTTAATTCCGTGACAGGCTGAAATGGATCTCGAGTTTGGTTTAACTTCTTTTCCCTTTCAATGAAAGGCAATGGTGACACGTAGGCCCAAGTTGGCGACCTCCGTTTATTTTTCACGCTTGATTTCCTCCTCAATATTGTCTTCATCCGTTTGGCAGATTTACTTCCATGTGTATATATTAAACATTATCTGTCGTGAAAACATTCGTAATTGTCGCAGCTTGATTTACAAACCGATTCGTGATTTGTTGTCTACAGATGACGAAGTGTATATATTTTTCACGTTATTTCGAAAGGCCTGCATATTGCGTACCCTTTGTCCTTCAGGCTTAACGTAAGTGAGGCCTTTTTTAGCCTAAGCATGCAAAGGGCCTCTTCTCTACCGGAGGGACGACATTTGGGTCCTTCTTATTCTATGGCGCAGGAACGCTCATCATCCTGAACCCAAACCTTCTGCGTGCAGCGCAGACAGGAATTCTTAGATGGTGGTTGCACCCAGAGGACCCAATACAGTGGATCCGAATGGGGGAGGTAGGGGGCTAGACCAGGGAATGTAGTTAATCCATCACCGCAATTTCCTGCAAGTGCATGCAAGTACAGTCCTTCACGATAGGCTATCAGCTTCGGTCCACAAATTGGGCCACCGGTATCAAGTGATCGAGAAGAGCAATGTTCATAGCGATTTTTTGGCAAGGTATACAGATCTAGAGTGATAGCTTTATAGTGTGAGCGGTGGCAGTTTTTAAAAACAAATTTCAAAATGGCCGCCAATATGCTTGAACTGGATTAATTATATGTGGTAACAAGCATGTTTTGGCTGCCATTTTTTTAAAGTGATATAGTACCCAAAAATCTGATACCGCTGCAATGCTATCACATATTTTCCAACTACAGGGGTGCATACCTTGCCAAAAATCACAATGGCCATTATTCCCCTCATTTGATACCGACCAAACCCCCAGGTCGCTGGCCTACAAGCGCTCTAGTCCCAAAAAGTATTCCTTTGTTATTGTACAACCACTGTTTCTTGTCACTTAAATGTGGGGCAGAAAGGGGAAATATTTCGGGGAATTGTGCCTTTGATGATACAAGCATGGAATTTTACACACAGAGAATACGTCTTAAGAAAGATATTTGGCTATAGGGCCATCGCAGAGTTGTCATTTGAACCAATATAAGTAGAATAACAAGCAATTTTCAAATTTTCCAAAACGGCTGCCATTGCTTGTTATTCTGCCTTTAATTTTTTTCAAAGGATAAATCTGCGCTGGCCCTTTAGCCAAGTATCTTTCTCATGACATACTCTGACTGTGTGGCAAATTCCACGCTTGTATCATCAAAGGCACATTCCCCTCACTTATCCTACACACAAGGATTAACGACTCGGCCAAACTCCACGCGTGATAATGGCCCGTACAGGTTGCAAATACCATGAATACATGTGTCGAAGTCTGTCAAGCCAGCTAATTATATTTTTGAATATTCATGAGTCTATTTTTTATCTTAATTGTTGAATTCTGATAAGTGATAACTACATAACCATGTTTATACCGAGCACAATATATTTAGCTTGAAAATGAACAGTGAAATGTCGCTTTTGTTCATCGGTTCGGAACCACATCTCTCTAAAACTGTTTTATGAAAGCCTAAATAAAAACGAAATTTGGGTAAACTGTGTTCTCCTCGAAATTTGACGTTTATTTCCCGGGTAAATACTTCATCTATGGCGACAACAACTGCACAATACCATGTGTTATTTCCTGAAGCATTTTTTTTTGTAACAATTTTTGAACAATATTATTGTATCTTACATATTAAGGAGTAGTTTTGCATACAGTTTTATGAATATTTTCGTTTTAGATCTGATGCAAAAATCCCGACACAATGGCACACCTGGAAAATTGGCGATTACGCGCCAACGGGTATTAATACCCGTTATCACGCGTCTTCCAAATTAAGGCAAGTCCGCTCAGTACATTTTGTACTAGAGCTCAGAACAGTCATTTATCCTTGTGTGTAGGATCCGTGGCTGTATACTAACTGGAACTGTGATGGTCTTGTCATGGACTCGACGGCATCCCCGGGGCTGACGACCGTCAAGATTTTGGTGGTACGTGCTGTTTATTGGTCTATTTCGTAGGCCTAAGTACACGTATGCCCTGCTGTTTAATTCTGTTTTTTATGTCCTCCGTGTCTTTGATTTCTCTCCATCTGGACACGGTTACCTAGTGGCCCATGCCCAGCGATGAGAGGGAGAAAGAAAGAAAAAGTTAACAGGAAAATTTGTAGAGGTCCGCAAGGGCGGATCCAGAACACAATTTTTTGGGGGGGGCCAAAAAAAAGTTGGTCCCCCCAAAAAAGTGGGTCTAAAAAATTACGGCGTGGGGTTCGGGGCCCGCTTAAGGGCCCCGAAAATTTTTGGATTCTAGATGCTCTGTGGTGCGATCTGAGGCAATTTCTGACCACTTTAACCAATTTTTTTTTGAGGAAAAGATGGTGGTGTACTCATTGCCTGCCTTTATTGCGATGTCACATTAAAAAAAAAAAAAAGGGTTTCGTTTTTGGGGGGGCCATGGCCCCCTTTGGCCCCCCCCCCCCTGGATCCGCCCTTGGAGGTCCGACGTCCACTGTACCATGGTAAGTCAATAACGATGGACGCTACCATGGTCCAATGTCATGGCACTGCTTAACAGTTAGCAGACATGGTGGATGTCGGACATGGACCTTGACATTTGATTCGGTGTTGCATACGAGAGAGAGAGAGGGAGAGGGAACAGAAAAGTTGTGCTTACTATAGCAAAAAATCGTGCTAATCGTAAGCACTTTTTCACGGCGTGGGTGTGCTAACAGTTGCGTGCGCATGGAGAATTCCAATGTTACGTCACTAAGTTCAGCAATTTTTTTCCTCTGAGGTAGGCGTGGCTTTTGCTGTGCTTACTGCTTACGGTCTCCGTTAAACACGAAGAGCCTCTGTTAGCTTAAAATCGTGTGATTTGCAGTGCCATGAAATTGACCTTTATCATGCTGCCACCATTTAAGTCATGTTCCCTGTATCAAATAACAGTACTGGATGATAATGTTTTTGTGCAAAAAGGAACCAGACTATTTTTCCTTCCAGCCTCGCTTAAGTAACGTTGATTTGAATGGGAAAAAAAATCAGGGTGGCTGCAACATGATAATGGTCTATTGGGCCCAGGATCAGGAAAGGATCTCAATCGTGTTATGTACAGTACACAGCCACAGACATATAATAAAACCTTTATTATATGTCTATGTACACGGCACATTCGCCGCGCATTGATGAACAGCGCCCTCAAACGTCGAATGATCCGCGCGCTTTTTGAATTTTCCAAGGCCGGCCGGAAAATTTACTTTTAGTAACACTCCCCCCCCCCCCCCATCAACCCCCACACCACCACCACCACCAAACAAAATACTTCTCTCTACGATACTGCCAATACTGCAGTAGGCCCCTTCTCCCACAACTACCAAAGCTCGTTTAAACAGCCCCTGGGTAAAGCGTTCAAATCCACCAACACGTTCTAGGCGCTCTTGAACTTCTCAACTTATTTCTGCTGATTTTTAGACCATAGTGACCGTTTTAGCCGATTTTCGGCCAATTTTGACAGATTTTTTGTACAAAAGCGAGTTTGACAGAAAATTTGACAGAATGGATTTTTTTTTGGCAGGTTTCTGGCAGAATTCTGCAAAACAATGGTTATTTGACAGAAAACACAGCAAATTTGAAAAAAAATGGTACATTTTTGTTTAAAAAAAGCTTTTATCTTCTCAAACAAACCCTTGCAAAAATAGGACAGGTTGCCTGGTCTAGGTGCTGAGATCACACTGGGAACCAGATTTCGTTGTGACACAACCGCGTTTTGCCTGAAATTTACGCAATTTCATAGCATCTTTATGGGACTGTAGATTGTTTATAATGTCATTCTAACCTTAATATAAGGCAATATTACAACATCTGCATGTGAATTTAAGTGTTTATTGTGTATTTCGAGTAATTCTGGGGAATTTGGCAGATTTTTGATGAATCTGACAGATTTTTGAAGTGCATTTAGCAGAATTTTGCCATGACCTCACGGTCACCCTGTTTCAGACCTCCCTATCCCTAGTATTGGCCGGTCATAACTTACTTCTTCTTGTCGACGGACTGACTAAACAGACAAACAGGTGACAATGAAGCTTACCAATCCTTTTCACGTTCGGCGACACGACGGAACCTCGGATCACTGGGTATACCAGCCGTATTATTCTCTTCTAAAGTACAGTGTCCACTTAAAGGGAATATACATCATTTGCTTTTGCTGTAATTTTCAGAAATGGATGGAATTGGGGGGTTGGAAATATAAAGCAAATATAGTTACACTAACTTTTTGGAGGTTTTGGGTTCGAAAATGCTATAAAAACCAAGTAAAACGATCATTTTCCTGTAGTCTGGTTCCCTGACTCCATATAAGAAGAAACAGAGCAGTTTACATACTTTGGGGGAATTGTAAGGTCAGGGAACCAGTCTAGCTGGCTCGTACCCGTTTATAGGTTTGTAATCGATTGCAAACAAGTGCAATGGTCAATTGGGGCTAGTATTTGAAAAAAAGCCAGTTGTTTCCAACGCTGATCGGCCGATCAGCGTTGGAAATTGATACAAAAATACCACTTTTCTTGAAAATGACAGTATACCAGGTGCCATAATTTTACAGGATGCTTTAGACTGTCATTTACCAACATCCTGTTAAGGTATTTCGCAAAAACTTGGTAGTTTTATTTTTCGATGTTCTTTGTCCTTTCAAAAGAAACCGACACTACTATTTTGATAACCGTCTAATGTAGGCTTACGTACTTTGTGTAGGTCAGGGTTGGTATTTGGAAGTATTTTTGTGCATATTTTACACCCTGAGATATCAGTTGCGGTGCAATCTCGTTATTAAGCACCGTTTAATGAAGTTTAAAAAAATACCCGTGTTTGACTTTAAGTGGATAGCGCCCAATTTGAAATACATTTACATGTAGTTGCTATGCCGTAAACCAACCCCACACTTCATGCCAAAATATCTGTTAGCAACTTAATTTGAGAAACAATGAAATTGAAAAATTCATGTCACAATTAACTTTCTAAGAACACAAAAGTAGAAAGACAGCTCCTACAAACAGTCATTCTCTTGTAAGTTACGCTAATTAAAAAAGGTCAAACG